TATTAATCGATAATTACTTTTTAATATGTGAACCTAAAGTTTTGCAATTATGATATGTAATTATACAAATCAAACCTTTTACTTTGTCATTAAACTTTATTTTTGAATAAATGGGGTTAGAAATTTTGGACTTTGACTTGTGAATTGATGACCCTGTACTAATGAATATTCAAACTTTAAGTTGTAGATTTATGAACTTTTGCATTGCTAATTTGTGCAAGTGCATCAAGTGTAACATTTTGTACTGGCTAGTGAAGCATCCTAATAATGCCAAAGCACCAAGTGTCCTTGCACTCATAGTAGGAATCAAAGGAAAACCAAAATGATTGAATGAAGCATTAAAATGTAATTAGTATTACTTTAGAATCATGTATGTGCTATCTGAAGTTGGTTTTATTGTACATGGAATTAGTTTTCTATAAATGAATGTGTGGCAGATATTGTGGTGTATGTTTGAAGAACACTTATTGTGGTATAAGTTTTATTTATTTGCCATGAAAAGTACAATTTTCCCAAGTTTATTTAGAAGACAAAGTCCATATATAACATGATAAGGTTTATTTATTAACAAAACAATGTTTATTTATTTTACATGGTTTGTGTGGTTAAGTTAATCACTTGTATAAGTTTTTCAAGCTTATTTATAACAAAAAGTTTGTATATAACATGACAAGATCTATTTATTAAGAATACAATCTCTATCTATATGACACATTTAAACATATACATAACAAGTTTTCATTAAAATAACAAGAAGTGAGCAATGTAACATCTTGGAGAATTTAATCCCTAATTAACTAAGTAAATGAGGTTAATTAAGTAAATTAATGTGGTGTATGGTTACAGAGAGCTCATGGATGTCATGGGTTGTGATTTCAGCCCTAGGATTGAGTTTGGAGCAAATTCGGGCTACTTCGATGTCAAAAAGTGAGAAAAATAAAAAGAAATGGCTCTATGCCATGTGTTACAAAGTGTGCATGGAAAGCCGTGGCGCATAAGCCACTAAAAGGCAAGAATTCCCTATCTATACCACACGTCACAGTGCATAGTCAAGAATCTACAAAAATAAGAGTGTATCAGAGTTTTAAAAACAAAGAAAAAGGAAGAGAAAATGAAGGAAATGTGAGGGGCTATGCTCGGGCAAGCATTGGGTTTCCTTTAGGGATTATTTTGAAGCTTCTAAACATTTGAGGCAAGTTTCCATTTTATAGAAGCAAAAGAAATAGAATTTATAGTAGGTAAACATCTTCATCATAAGAACAAAAAATCACTTAATAAAAACTCAATATTCAGTGGTTCTCAAATTAATTGAAAATTTTGATTTTTCCCATTTAGAAAGAAGGAAGGATATCCGCATTGTCTATATATTAATTACAAGTTAGTAAAGTATGCACGGCTATATCATCGGATATATAAATTGTTGAAACTCCCATTAATTTTTTTTAAATTTCAAACATCATGTGCAATGGACAAACAAAGGAATAGCAGAGGACAAAAATGATAATCAATGATAATCACAACATAAATGTGATATGTGCTAATTTAGCGTGATTTCATGTGAGTTAGGCTTAGAACAATAATAGCAAACATATAAAATAAGAAATAAATAAATAAACAAATAAATTTAAATGTAGATACTCTTAATATCTACTTTCTTCATTCTATGTAGATAGCTTCAGGATCCATCTTATATAAAGTAGCCATTCATGATCTACTTTATACTCTATGTGGATAGTTTCAAGATCCATCTTATATAATATAAATCTTCATAATCTATTTTGTACTCTACATATATGGATATTTTTATGATTCACTTTATAAAATTTAAATGTAAATATCTGAATCTGCAATATATGCTTTAGATTTTTTTTGTGAATAACTTCAAAATCCATTTTACTAGGTGGTTCCTCATACTTTTGGATATGAAAAACCTTTTCAATAATTAATTCAAAAGAAATGATAAAGTAATTAAAAGATGAGAGTAAGAAAATAACCATATGAATGCAAGTAAAAGCAACTTAGCAAAGAAATAATTAATGAACAAAATAATGAAGATTTGCTCAATTGTTTAATTTAGGATGCCTCCCTTCTTATTAAAGATATTCCTTGACATGAGCAATAGTCTTCAATCTCATAAAGCTAGGTGTATGAACAATTAAGAATAAAGTCACACACATGATTGCCAGAGTTATCTGATAATACATTATGAAATTAGAGAAGTAAGAGAAGAGAGAAAAGTAGAGAGAGTGAGAGAAGGGAGGAAGCTTTTTGATTTATTGATATGTGAAATATAACTGAGAAGCCTCCTATTTATAGGCACATGTTTACAATTGAAAAATTCACAAAAAAATAAAAATAATAATAATAATAAAGATAATACGAGATATTATAGAATAACCAAAAGATATATGAAATTATGAATAACCACTATAATGTATTATTCATAACAGTTATATTTATTTATTATCAGAATATAATACTCCATATTTTTCCTTGAGTTTAATTGTTCGTTGTGTTTGAACAACAAAAATATCAAATGTGTTAAAGATGTAGAGTCTCAAAATGATAAAAGGGTCCAAGAGCTCCCTACCTCTATTTACCTGATGCAAAGCTAATGATGTAAAAGTAATTTGATTAATAAAAATGAAGTACAAAGTTACAGTAATTACAAATGTAAAATGAAAAATAACAAGGTACAAACCTAAGTCCAAAGTAAATTTAAATTGAAACTAAGTAGAGTTTTTGATATGCATGTGTATGTGTGTTTGATTTCGTTAGTTGGGCTCCTTTTATATTGGAATGCTTGAGACTATTGTGCTTGAAGAATCAGAAGCTCGCCTGCAAAATATCCATGATTGCTAGACACGGTCTAGCAAGATTTGGCGCACGTCAAACAACTATTCCACATCTTCTTAATGGCCTTCCACCCCTAATCACTTTGAGTTTTAAGGGTCATGCCCCTTGCCTTAGTATGTATTTAGCACGGAACCTTGTACGGAAACAAATTGACCATTGTGTTTGTTTGAGTATTAGGCTTGACATTTCGTTTTTCTTTATCATTGTTATTTTGGGCTTGACGCTTCATTTTAAGCCTAAACAATAATAAATATAACATTTAATTTATTCAAACAATCTCATTAATTACTCAATAGAGTAACAGAATAATTGGGGGGGTGTATGACACATACTCAATACTTTATATTCTGAACTAAACAAAATTTCTAGAAAAAGACTTTTATTTTTGTACTGAAGGAATATATTCGTCAAAAATATTTTTTAAAAAAATAAGGAATTTATTTAAAATTTGTATGTTTGATATTATTTCAATAATAAGTATTCTTTTTTTCAGATCAAATAATTTTATTTAGAATTTTGAGAACAAAAAAGGCCCAACCAAGTTAATACCTAGCCAGGCTGAAAAAAATTTTTATTCCTTATTCTATAGTTTATAAATAGAATATAGAATATTATTCTATTATAATCTTAATAATACATTTTCTTTCGCAGAATGTTAAGAATTCAATTTAAAATTAAATAAAATTTTAAGATTAAAACATCTAGAAGTTTCAGTGTAATAATAAAATTAATTTGTTATATATAAGATATTTCGAGAAAAATAATCTTACGAAATTAGTTGAATTAAAAAGTTGAAAAAAAAAAAAACATGCATTGACTCTCGATAAGAGAAATATTCGGACTAATGTGTAAAAAATTACTTGATGCGACAAAAAAAAAAAGTATTCTCATCATAAACATTTCCATCAATTCAAACTTTCTTTGAAACATCGTTTTTTTTTTTCCTTTTGGAACATGCAAAATAAGCTTTAAAAGTCGTGACAATGTGCTGGCCATTTGGCAATAGAGCCCAGTGTGACCTGAGTAACTGGGTTGTTTGGTCCTCATATTCTGGGGTCCTTACTGCCATTCTCCCATATAGGGGTAAATAAAATCGAATCGAAATTAAAAATTAAATTAAATCGAATCGAATTTTATCTATTTAATTTAGTCTATTTAATTTTTCAATTCGATTCGGTTTTTTTATTTTAAATATTTCGGTTGATTGGTTCGATTCGTTAGTAAAATTTAAAATCGAATAGACGAACCGACCGAATTACATATAATTTATTAATTTATAAATTATATTTAATTTATAAATTATTATTTTTATTTTTATTTTTTATTTTAATAAAGAATAAAAATAATAACATCACTTGAAATCCTATTTCAGTTAATCACTCTCATCAAGAGGTATTGTGACTGAATTATGGAACCATTATTTGATCATCGGTATTTATTTGTGATTGTTTATTTGATTATCTATACCTTTATAATATTTGGGCTTTATGTCATATGGATGTAATTAGAATGGACTCATTGAAAAAAATGAATAGAAAAAAAGCCCAATTTTATAGTATTATTTGTTTTAATATTTAAAAAATAGGCTCAATTTTAACAGCCAAATATAAAACCGAAAAACCGAATTAACCGACCGAACCGAATTATCAAATTTCAGTTCGATCCTTATTCGGTTTGATTCAGTTTTCATTTTCAGTGTTATTCAATCGATCGATTCTGCATATTTTAAAACCGAACCGACCGATGCTCACTCCTACTCCCATGTAAAAACCCCACCTTTACAATGCTGATGTCTCAGAAACTAAAGCCATCAGCCCTTGGAGGGATTGCCCTGGTGTTACCAGTGATTATTAGAAAACATCAACACCCACACGTGAAACTGTATAGGACCATTCCTTTTTTTTTTTTTAATCAACTGAAGATACATCAATCCAAAGGATTACACGTGGTACATATGGGTAAGACCCTAACCTGTCCTCATCCACAATCTGTCTACAGTAAGATGGTTGACAGTCAGAGAAAAACTGTTAACATTAGTCGGTCCGCTCGTAGCAAGGAAGTGGGCACAATGGTTATCCCCCCTAAAATTAAAACGCAGAAAGATAAAACCTGTTACAAAAATTAACAAACGAGCATGCTCAATATCATCCCTGCATAGGTGCTGAGACACATCAACTCTACTGTAATAGGAACGTCTTTCAAAGTCACAATAAGTGCGCAAATACATTAGATCAATCACAGGCAAAATACCAAATAAATGGAAAAGTGATTGTGCGTCAAATATCTGTAAGTTACATCCATTAGATAAGGGCAAAAAAGGGTGCAAGAGTAAGAAAAAACGGGGTTTGATATTTTCATCTTTCCAAAAAAATACATCTCATTCGTTAACAGATTTCAATCAAAAGAATGATATATCATATTTTTCTTGATTTACATGAAATATTGCATAATTTTCCCCCTTTCATACAAATAAAAAATACATGATGCAGATATGTGCAATGGCAAAAAGAAAATGCATGCACCAAGAAGCATATATTAGAACAGTCGCTTCCTGCAGTCAGCAGCTCCACAATAACACGTCATTTTCTTTACTTTCCCGTCAGGGCTCAAGACACTATCCAGGGCATAACCATAGTCATATGTAAGCTCCTGCGAGCAGTGAAGGTAGATTTGTCAGGTGCACAATATTGATCCCTAGCATAAATTCAACTAATAACATAGAAGAGCATTATTGTTGACCATTGATTGAAAATACACTTCAAAGCAGTGTCTAATTTTAATAAATAAAATCATTACAAATTACACATCAACATTGCCGCAGCTGCCCATTCAGCTCACCGAAATAATTATAGCATAAAGCAATTTCAAAGCCAAGGATCAGACAAAAAAAAAAAAGCCAAAAATAATTGAGTTCGATAAAAGAGTGAATATAAATACTTCATCCATTTATCTGTTCTATTGTTCAAAGCATTATCATCACAAATGCAAAAGAATAAACAGCTAACCTGCAAAGGTGGTATGTTGTCTGCAGCAAATAACATCACTCGTGCAAGCCTTAAATCATGGTGTGAACTCAAAACACATTGAACAAATAAATTTGGTTCACAACTATGGTTTATAAATCGAGCAATATTTCCAATTGATCCAGCATCAATACAAAATTCTGGTGCGGATTCAGAGGCATCATTTGCATAGTTGTCCAAAAGTTTAACTGCTGCAGATGTTTCATTTTGTGATCGCCTCTGTAAGCAAATAAGATACGGAGACATCTCAGATAGGCTTCAGGTGGAATCTCCTCCACGTGACTAGTTTGTTTTGACCTCAAGTTTTCACTTGCCAGTTGTATAATAATAATTGTAAGAAACAAAACAGAGAGATATGGAAAGACAAATATAATCTTATACTAAACTAGCTGGCGAAAACATAAAAGGAAGACAAAATAGGAACTCAAACCTCTCTTCCACCAATGCCCTTCATCGTTTGCAAACAATCTATCTCAAAAATATAATTGTTCTCGAGTGTATTCTCTACATCTTCTGTCCTCCTGATTAATCCTGTGTATTCACAAACTGGTGCTCCCGAAGGTATGAAATCCCAAGATCTAACAGCCCATCCTTTCTTTGCAGTTCGAAAAACCTGTCACAATTTGGTTGCATGTATAAATTAAAATACACAATATTGGTAGTTTAATCTAAGAACTTTAAGATGACTAAAAAAAAAAAAGTACAACCTCAAGACGATATCGTGGCCCTCTCTGAGAAGTTCTATTAACACAACCAGGACCACATCCACAATTTGGTCCACATTCAAAGACAACATCTTTGGCTTCAATTAACCTAGCAGGTGAAAAATTATAGACTACTGTCAATATACTCCTAAAAACAACAATAGCTACACCAACAACCAGCATAGCCAGCTCTCAGCTAACTCATTTCGATGATCTAACCTCCCTCCATTACGAGATACATAGGGAAAATCAGAGCCATTTCGTAAAGCACATTCACAGGATGTGGGATCCACACATAAGCCTTTGCACTTGCATCCAGTGACAGCAGGGGGGAGCTTTACATTCTTTGAAAGCGAAATTGATTTTTTATATTTAAAACCTATAATATTCAAAAATCCAAGTCAGTTAACTAGATCACCATAGGGATGCACAATGCTAAACTTAGGTTTAGGAAAACATTAGTGACAACTCAGTTTCAGAAACATTGCATAGCAAATATACAAGAGTAAATACTAATTTTTGCAGATGAGAAGAAAATAGAATAAGTCAATAATGTCAAGAAATTTTGAATCTGCTTCCTCCTGTTGACTGGTGCTTAGAAAGCTGTACTTGCATGTTATTGCGGAAGCAAAGCTAATTTCCAAAGCCAATAAATACATTCTTACTGAGAAACCATACCCCCTCCCCCCAGCAACTAGGGACGAACAAGGAATGCAGCAGCACAAACTAAGGGCCTGCTTGGTTATTAGAAAAGATGGAAATGGAATGGATTAAAAAAACACAAAAAGAATTAAATCACCCACATGTGAACATGATAAAATTTAACATCACATAACACAAATGTGGAAATCACCACACCTTTCACAATCCTCATGAATCATGACCCCTAACTTCATGAACTAAATTATCATTCTCCCTCATAAACATGATTGACCTATCTCCCCTCCTCATTTTGATTATTTTATTTTTGCCTTAATTTTTTTAATCCATTCCATTTCCATCCTTTCTAGCAACCAAACAGGTCCTAAGGTTTGGAGTCACTCCCTTATATCCTCAAGGCCTTTTTACAAGCAAAAGTCCCAACAGCCCACTAATATTCAAGACCTACTCTAGAGGATTAGAGAAGTAAAGGAATTGAGCTTTGTTGGTGGTTATTATGATAGAACACTTCCAGGGTTTGTGGCCTGATATTTGCAGGACATGTTAACCTAATGAAGCAATGCTTTGGCACTATAAGGTTGGTGGTAATAAAAGATGTGAATTCCAAAATTGTTGAGAAAAGTGAAATTTCTTCGTAATGCAAAGCTTGTAATTTATCCCAAACTGTTTAACCCAATACCCTGTTCATTAATACCAACCTTCCCACCCATTTGACTTAATGCATTTATCACTAGTCCAAACAAATCAAAGCCCATTAATGTTTATGGTGCAAGATGATATAGAATATTTATTAATTCTTGATGATTTCACCAGATTCACTTGGGTTTCTCAAGAGATAAGAGTCTGAAGCTTCTCAAATTTTCAAAGATTTCACCACCATGATCCAAAACCAATTTCAAAGTAACATCTAAGTCATCAAAACAGAATTGATCCACCACCAACATGGATCAGACACCAAAATTCATGTCAATACGCCTTAATAAAATGGAAAATGGAAAACAAGACGTATATTGCAAGTTGTCATGGCCATTGTGGCGTCTACAGATGTTCCTAAACACTCGTGTGAGAAAAGCAAACCTTACTGCAACCTACTTGATTAAAATATCCAAAACCTTGAATTTTAGGGCCATTATGTCATATAATTGTAATATTGAAATATTACTTACTGATAGTTAAGTTAGTTGTGGGAAATAGCTGTTGGGTAGTTACTGTTATATAATTGTAATATTCAAAAATATTACAATTGTATAACACATTAGGTACATAAAATGGAAAGGAAAATTACTTTTGCATCGCTACCATGAAAAAATTTGTGCAAAAGGCATAATATTTTTGCGTAATGGTAACAATTTAATAAATATTGCGTATCTCATATTTTGTAAATCGAAAACAGATTTCCTTCCCTCAAACATACCAAACAAGCTGTCAATACTCCCCATGAACAACTTCTGTTGATTCCTACCATTAGTAAATTTGATCCATGTCAAAAAAAAAAAGAGTGCATATTTCTTGAGCACACCTCCCATAAAAAGGACTAGAAATGTTATTAAACAGTTCTATATCACCTTAGATGCTGAGAATTTCTTTAAAAACTAGCCCTGCTACTCCACAAAACTCTTCTCATGGGGCGACTCGAAACATTCGAGAAGATTAGGATTGTTTAAAACCAGGGCATCCCTAGCCTTATAATTGATATGTGACCATTCAAAACATGCCTAATCTACTTGCCCCGCCTAATCTCAACACTCATATCCTTGCCCAAAAACCCATAAATTCATATCTTTCAAAACCCCAAAACTCAATTTGATTCTAAAGTCCATAAGGACTCTAGTGCCAAGGCATCTGAGAGTGAGATGAAAGGTACACAGTAAAAAATAGTCAAGTGTACTGCAGGAAAAAGAACATCGAAATTGTAGAACCTTGGCATGTCACTAAGGTTCTATCATGGCTCCAAATCGAGACCAGTACGAATACTTCTAATACGTGGCACCAAAATGGAAGTATTTCAAAACTAGTCTTTGTCTAAAAATGGCACCTTCAAGTGTCAATTAGGCTCTAAGTACACCAAAACAAAGACAAGCATAAATGTGGGGACGCTTTGATTCCTAGGCTTAGGAAATTTAGATGATAAGAAATATGGAAAATATTGCTTTAGAAGAAAATAATTAATAGCTTTGTGTTACTTTTAATTACTTCTGATTGTTAGTTTCTTTTTCAACAAGTGGGAATATTTGATAATTTTGTTTTAGCAAGGGGGTAGAGGTTTCCTCATACAGAAGGAAACCCCGTGCTTATAAATAGGATACTTCATGTAACTTGGAGCCAGATTTGAATGAATGAATTTTTGAGTTATGTGAATGCTCTCTGTGTCTGTCTCACTCTACTCCCCCTCCCTATCAGATTTGTATTTTCCCTCTTTCTTCCCACTCTCTTTGTTTCTGTCTTTCTTCTCCCCCAATATCCCATTCTTGTCCCTTTCCCTACCACTCTCTGTTTCTACTTCTTCTCCCATTCTCCCCCTGTTTAAATCTTTGCAAGTGTGTGAGTGTGTTACATCATTAGATCTGCCTCTCTCACTTGGAGATCCGTGACTGAAGTTTAGGGTGATTTTGAAGGAGGACTCGGCAAGATCAACAATGGAATTTCCATGAAGTGTTGGTGGGATCTATGGAGTCCTCTAGATAAGACACTTGAGTATGTTATCCAACCTAGATTAATCAATGCCCGTGAAAGCATTCATGATCATGTCCTTCCTAGTGGCCAATGGAATGCTAAGGGGCAGAGGAAATCTTACCATCTTGGACAATCCCAATTCTTTTGAAAACTCAGACACCAGTTTCTCATGAAGAGGATTGTGTTAGATGGCATCCTATGGCAGATGGTGGTTTTACGGTCAACAGTGCTTATCATTTTCTTTCCCAGTCTGGAGATTGAAGAGGGTCCCCGCTGTGGTGCAAGTTATGGAAGTGGCAGGTGCTAGAAAAAGTCAAGTTTTTCATGTGGCAAGTTTCCTGTGAGAGACTAATAACAAACTCACTCAAAGTTAAGAGAGGATTGTCAAACACTTGTCTTTCTTCCTTTGAGCGCAACTATAAGGAGTCCATATTACATATCTTGAGAAATTGTGAGTGTGGTACCATGTCTTGAAAACTATAAGTGCAGGTATGACCAAATTGGAACTTGTCTCATCGACCAGCAAAGGAAAGATACAAATCCTGGGCTTGCATGAGGATTTTTGCAATTGTTTGCTGGTAACTCTGGACATCACAGTGCAAGTTTATCTTCGAAGATTCCACTTTCACCGCAGCAGATATCATCCACAGATGCAGCTTTATGCTTATGAAAAATACTGTCAACAATGAGCTTAAACATCAGATGCTCCATAATTTCCAGACCCACAAACAGTTAGGGACAGCCCCCTCACTGGACTGTGTTCGCTTTGACGTTGATGGTTCAGCTCAATGTAATCATCATGCTTTGTGTGGAGGAGTGCTCCGGGATCACAAGGGCGATTGGATCATGGTTTTCAACATGCTTTGGGCTTATGCTCTATTATTGATGCAGGATTAAGGGCAATCAAAGCAGGGCTGTTGCCTCAAGTGATGAAGGCCCTGACTTTGTGACACAATGCAAAGGAGCATTTGAAATGCTAGAATGAAATGAATTGCTCTTTTCAGGGCAACTCAAATGATTCCAGCAATCCAGACAAATGATCCTAGAACTTTCATCTTCAAATCAATGCAATCAATGCCATTTTAAATCACAAGAATCGCATGCTTGTAATTTATGTGATAAATAAAGCTCATGGGTCTTGAAAGTAACACCAAGCATCAAATTCCAGTTTCTATATCTAAGTGGGGAATCTGAATGATCTTCAGAAAATGTTAGAACTTAACTCAACTTACCTTTGGGTGCAACTGGGGGGTCGTCAATCAGGTTAGTGGCAGGAATAGGCACATCTTCTTCACCTTTGGTGATGTCCTCACACACAAGCCTAAAGTAAATAATAACAAAAGGATTCAGGCCATAATAGTCGAGCTGAATCTTATGGATATTCAACTTATGGTAGCTTTTTCTTTACCCTCGTATTTCAGCAATGGACTGAGGGGCACGTCCATTAATGAAATACACCTGCAATTACAACAAAATAAATAAATAAAATCATTTAAACATTCTTCACTACTTCATTGTTCGGCATTAAAAAAAAAAATCAAACTTGACCCATGATCAGTCACAGAAAATCTAGGAAAAGAATTGCAATGACAGCAGTCAACTCCACAATTCAACAAATTATCTAGATAAGAAAACAAGTCAATTTATACAATGGAACCTCGATGAGAATAATTTTATTCAGACAAATTATAATAAAACCCTATTTGTTAACCTTTGACATGAATAAATAAACAAGAAATCACAAAAATGAACACAAAATGTCTAATGTGGCGTTTGCCACAAATGATAGTAGTCACAACATAATTGCTTTTCCAATTCTAATAGTAAATATCGCATTGGTTGTATTATGTATGGCGCATGTCATACACCGTACATAGACATTAAGAACTTGCTCCTCACTGAAGTTAGGAATAAAGCTTAATCTAAGGATACCCTGACAACTGAAGTTTATAATAAAATATCATGAAGCATTTATGTCATCTATGAAGCATTAGTCATAAGAGACCAATAGGATTGATGTAAAATTGTTTAATTATTTAATGTTTAGAAAGTGTTCTTACGTTTATCATTCACGTAGGGCTTTAGCTTGGTTGTCAATTATCCTAGTAGGCTAGAGAGTTTCTTACTTCTAGTTGTCCTTATCCTAGCAGGAGGCAACCCTTGATTAGATATCCAAAGCACCTTTATTTGAGCAACAGTTAGCTTGAAAGGCTCAAAAACCTACGAATGTCTTTTTCAATAACTCTGCACATCAAACAAGCAAAACTCCCTCAAAGAGGTAGGGACGAAACACCAAATTAAACCAGAGGACAGCCATATCCCATCATACACGCAAGAGGTAAGGAAATGCACTAGAAAATGCATATTAAGTGGACCAATGACCAAACTTTCCGCAGATAGATAGTGAAACAAAACTATCATAACTTCACAAGACATGAATATTCTTCACAATGAAATTAAAAAACAAATATACGGACCTGGTTAGTTGTCAAGGTTGGCTGCCCATCAAGCCTCCTGAGCCGAAACTTAAAGACCGTAAACCCAGATATTCCTTTTTCTGCCCAATAGTTAACAACCTATACAAAACAGAAAATAATTTGAACCCT